CACTTGGGCTGTTTTCATGTCTTGGCTAGTATGAATTGGGCTGCAATAAACATTCTGGTGCAAATGTCTTTGTTGTAAGATAATTTTTGATCATCTGGGTATATACACGTAGAGGAATTGCAGGATCGAATGGTAGGTCTACTTTTAGTTTCTTGAGTGTTCTCCAAATTTCTTTCCAAAAAGGTCGTATTAGCTTGAATTCCTACCAGCAGTGTAGAAGCATTCCCTTCTCTCCACATCCTCGCCAACATCCATAGTTTTGGGTTTTTGTGATGTGGGCTAATCTTACTAAAGTTAGATGCTATCTCAAAGTAGTTTTGATTTGCATTTCTCTGATGATTAAGGATGATGAGCAATTTTTTCATGTGTTTGTAGGCCATGCGCCTATCTTCATCAGAGAAGTTTCTGTTCAAGTCTCTTGCCCACATAGAAATAGGGTTATTTATTCTTTTCTTATTGATTAGTTTGAGTTCTCTATAGATTCCCATTATCAAACCTTTGTCAGAAGCATAACCTGCAAAAATCTTCTCCCATTCTGAAGGTTGTCTGTTTGCTTTACTTACTGTGCTCTTGGCTGGACAAAAGCTTTTTAGTTTGATCATATCCCAGTAATGTATTTTTGGTGTTGCTTCATTTGCCCTGGGTGGGGTGGTCCTCCTCATAAAGTATTTTCCCAGGCTGATTTCTTCAAATGTTTTCCCTGCACTCTCTTCCAGTATTTTTATAGTTTCATGTCTTAAGTTTAAATCTTCTATCCAGTGAGAATCAATTTTTGTTAATGGTGAAAGGTGGGGGTCGAGTTTCAGGCTTCTACACATTGCCAGCCAGTTCACCCAGCACCATTTGTTAAATAGAGAGTCTTTCTCCCACTGAATATCTTTGATAGGCTTGTTGAAGATCAAATGGTGACAAGTAGTGGGGTTCCTCTCTTGGTTCTCTATTCTATTCCATAAATCTATCGCTCTGTTTTTGTGCCAGTACCATGCTGTTTTGATCACTATAGATTTATAGTATAGCCTGAAGTCTGGTAATGTGATTCCTCCTGATTTGTTCTTATTTCTGAGTAATGAATTTGCTATTCGAGGGTTTTTCTGATTCCATATAAAATGAAGTACTATTTTTTCAAGCTCTTTAAAGTATGACGATGGTGCTTTTATAGGGATTGCATTAAATCTGTAAATTGCTTTGGGTAGTATGGACATTTTAACAATGTTGATTCTTCCCAGGCATGAGCATGGTATGTTTTTCCATTTGTTAACATCTTCAGCTATTTCTTTTCTCAGAGTTTCATAGTTTTCCTTATAGAGGTCTTTCACATTCTTTGTTAGCTAAATTCCCAAATATTTTATCTTCTTTGGTACTATTGTAAAAGGAATAGAGTCCTTTATTGTTTTTTCAGCTTGACTATTTTGGCGTATAAAAGCTACGGACTTGTAAGTATTGATTTTGTATCGTGAGACACTGCTGTATTCCTTGATCACTTCTATGAGTTTTGAAGTTGAGTCCCTGGGATTTTCCAGGTATAGGATCATGTCATCAGGGAAGAGTGAGAGTTTGATCTCCTCTGACCCTATTTGGATACCCTTGATCACCTTCTCTTGCCTGATTGTGATGGCTAAGACTTCCATTATTATGTTGAATAGCAGTGGAGACAGTGGGCATCCTTGCCTCATTCCTGATCTGAGTGGAAATGTTTTCAATTTTATACCATTCAATATGATATTGGCATGGGTTTGCTGTAGATGGCCTCTATTAATTTAAGAAATGTCCCTTCTATGCCTATTTTCTTAAGAGTTCTGATCATGAAAGGATGCTGGATATTATCAAAGGCTTTTTCTGCATCACTTGAGAGAATCATATGGTCTTTGTTTTTTATTTTATTGATATGATGTATTACATTTATAGATTTATAAATCTATAAATAAACCAACCCTATAACCCTGGAATAAAACCAACTTGATCATGGTGTACACTTTTTTTGATGTGTTGTTGAATTCTATTTGCTAAGATCTTATGGAATATTTTTGCATCAAAAAAATATTTTTGCATCAATATTCATTAATGATATAGGTCTATAATTTTCTTTCCTTGTTGGATCATTTCCTGGTATGGGGATCAGGGTGATATTTGCTTCATACAATGTGTTGGAAAGTATTCCTTCTTTTTTTTTTTTTTTTTTG